AGTGCAGTCATGTCTTTCTTTTGTCTCTAGACCCTTCAGAAAGGGGTGTCCCTAAAGGTAGGGTTCCCAGTCATACGTCCTCACATTGTGGTTAAGTAGGTATGTGTGTGTGTGTGTGTGTGTGTGTGTGTGTGTGTGTGCTATTTAACAATAGAACTTTGGAATTACGCCTGAGAAAAGAAGAACATCACGTGGCCACAATCACTTTTTTGTCTCCTCTTTATATTTTTTACCTACAGGCAGAAAGCAAAATTAACACTCGCAAAGTGCCAAACGAGAGTGAAATTTATAAATACAACAAAATACCACTGTTTGATAGTGACTTTTATATAGAATATTCCTTCCATCAAGCCACTAAAGTAAAGACAAGTACTTAAAATCCCACAGTAGTCAATAATTGTATCCATTAAAACTCATCTTTGATCACCAAAATTACATATTTGTAAGTTTTTTCCTCGAAAAAAATTGTTCATGCTTTAAAATATCTTGAATGTAACTCGACACCCTTGCCTCATTTAGTATTCGCGGTTCTATGAATATGCAAATGAGCCCCGCCTCCACTCCCTCCCTAAGCTCAGAGATCCACTGGTTGACGATCACACGTTGATCTGATTGGTTACAAGGTCGTTTGTGACGTCAGAAACACCAGCGATTTCAAACCGTGTTTTTGGTTCACTGCAGTTTTAAGCAGAAAATACTTCGACTTATGAACTTACACATGGTTTAAGCGTATTAAAAACACCACAGACACATATAAACAACATTAAAAGCTGGATTTTCACCACAGAGGGGATTTTAAAATATAAAATACAAAAAAATTCAATGGCTTGTAAATTTTCCTAATTCTCCTGGCATTCGCAGATGGTGCAAAAAGCTACTTTTAGTCTGTATCTACAGCAAAAACAACAGATAAATATTGCTCAATTTGCAAGGGACCCTGATAAATGTGCAAGCATGACTGGATCTGAGATTGTTCTCTGGGAATATATTGTTTGTTTGGTAGGGAGGCATTTTTAGCTGAGAAACCGCTTCCCAAAACTGCTGTCGAGTCACACATATCTCACTATAAATAGATTTTAACTTTAAAAAGGAGAACAAGTGTCTAGAGCTTGACGGCATGACTTTAAATGACTTCCTATTCATCTTTAGGTTGAGTTCAGTGTCAGCTTCTTCCAGTAAATTGAACACATGTGACATACACTTTATGGGAAGCACCGTTGACCGTTCGACTGGGTTTATTTTGGATCAGACTCACTCCGGGCAACAGTTTGGGTCGGTTTATATGACGGCGCGAGCAGACAAACTCTGAGTGTCTGTCTCTCTGGGACAGTTGTGCAAAGCCCTGCGTCTCGTTCACACACCACTCACAAACCAGTTTAACCAGGTCCAAACCAGTTTAACCGAGGCCCTGGCTGTGTTTGGATAACAACTTCAACTTTCTTACAGAATGCATTTAGCATGCATCATACATGCATCCAGTTTTCATATTTTGAGTAAATTGCTCAATTATTTTCTTCCTCAGTAATTCTATATTGTTTTCCAGTACACTTTACTTTTATGTATAATAAATGCATTATAAAGGTATTCATAATGTACATTGTATCTATTCATAAATAATTGTAAACAAAAAAAAAAGTTTTTTTAATGCATTATACTTTCTAAAGGTGTTCAATGAATAGATAATATTATCATATAACTGTGGTTACAATTATTCAAGAGATCATTATAAGGTGCATTACAAGGCATAATTAATGCATTAAAAAACTGTATATAAAGGCTTCAAATATAGTGTTATCCAAAATACTGGAACATATATTTAACATATGAAGTTTTCTGAGAAATAATATAAAAATCAAGTGACTGAATTTTTTTGCTTAAAACAACAGTAAATTTGTTTTCTTATCCCATTGGCATAGTACTAATCTAACTTAATTTTTTTTAGAAAACAAGACTATAATATTTGACATTATTTGGCTTCTAAGGGAAGTGTATCTTGATTTAAGATTGTTTAGATATTTGTATTGGAAAACGACGAAAATACTGAATACGAAAATCATTTTGACAGAAATAGAGGATCAAGCGCTATTTAGCAAATCTCATAGATAATCTGGGTATTTCATGCATGCTAAATACCGTTTGTTTAGTCAGCATGCTATTCAAAAGCATAGCAAATGTCATTCAAACATGTAAACAAGGCTCATTATAGAATCAATTCACAAATGTTCTCTTCAAAATGTGCGCTATACAGTTTAAAACCAGATGGTATGTACCTCTAAACTGCACACATTGTCCTCTCATTGACACCTGTGTGTGTGTGTGTGTGTGTGTGTGTGTGTGTGTGTGTGTGTGTGTGTGTGTGTGTGTGTGTGTGTGTGTGTGTGTGTGTGTGTTCACAGACGTGTTTTCCCCTCAGTCTTGCGCTCTCATTAGCATATGACCGTCTGGATTGCGTTGAGAGACTGATCTGATGTGTTGTTGCACAGCTGGGCGATTCTGACACTTTCTGTCTGTTATGTTGCATGTGTCCTCTCTCTCTCTCTCTCTCTCTCTCTTTTCCCATTATGCCCAGACAAGACTTTAGATTGAAAATGTTCCTCCCACTTCCAAATGTGTGGTCACTCAGTAACAGCGAGTGTAGCCTATCTCATCACAGCCAGAGCGGGGCGTGACTGGGCTGTCAGGAACAGCAAAGCTCTTGTGTAAAAGACTCTCATCTCACGTCCAGATAAACAATCACATTTAATTGGATATTTCACCAGGCCCATTAAATCATAGACAAGGTTAGTCAGGCACAGTTGCTAACGCGAGCCGTGCTTCAGTCTCTCGTACATCGCAAACAAACTAGCTAATCCACCCGGAGAAAAGTGCATTGGAAAACAACAAACTGTTTGACTGTCCAGTGCCTAAAAATACACATAGGGGTTATATTAAATATTCATAATCATTTAGTGGCAATGATTCTAATGTTGATTTATAAAGTGATTCACATCTTTAAAACATGTAAGAGCTGTTGGCTGACAGGGACTCGGGTTCAATCTGACATGACCTATACTATCCTATCTATTGTCCAATAAAAATATAATAAAAATAATATTAAAAATAAAATAAAAATCACAGAAGCCTTTGCTTGCCATTTTTATACATCACATTTTTTATTTTACTTTTTAATTTTATTTAAAAAACAATATAAAATAATTATAAAAAAAAAATAAACAAGAACATAATATAAATATATAAAAATAAAAATATTATAAAAATGTTTTATATATACAATTCTTTTTTTTAAATTTTATAAAAAATAAAAATAATAAAAATAAACAAGAACATAAATTTTTTTTATAATTAAAAGAAATGTTTTTTTAATTGTTTTATTTATCAATTTTTTATTTTTAAAAATAATATAAAATAATAGAATAAAAATAAATAAAATGTTTTTGTTTTGAAAAAAACAAGAAGCCTCTGGCATTTTTCATGTTTAAATGTTTCAAAAAAATATACACGTCTATAATAATAAAAAAATTACTTATAGAAGCCTCTGCTTGAAATTTTTCTTATAGTTAAATGTTTTGAAAATATTATAAAATAATTTATACTCATGCATACTGAAAATGAAATATTCGTCCTTTTTCGAAAGACTTATCTTCCGTATTGAGACGTATATCTGAGTGAAATGGTTTGTGCAATGAAACCAACAATGTATTTTGTCTTTAGGGAATTAATAGGAAGTTGGGATCTGAATGCCAGTCTGCAGAAAGTTATGTGCACGGATAAATCACTTATAATAAACACTGTGATAATCTGTAAAAATAAATTAAAATATGAAGAATTTTACATTTTGATTCCCAGCTGATTTAAAATATTCCTTCCTGTGCTTCGCAACAACTGTTTAGCTAAAATTATGTCATATAAAAAGAACGATTTCTCATCAGAATGCTGTGTGTGTGTGTGTGTGTGTGTGTGTGTGTGTGTGTGTTGAGTGTGTGATGTGTGTGTGTGTGTGTGTGTGATGTGTGTGTGTGTGTGTGTGTGTGTGTGATGTGTGTGTGTGTGTGATGTGTGTGATGTGTGTGTGTGTGTGTGTGTGTGTGTGTTTGAGTGTGTGATGTGTGTGTGAGCGTGTGAAGTGCTATTCTCACCCGTGTGTGTCCTCCGGCAGTTGGGATCTAAATGCCAGTTTGCAGACAGTTGTGTGCACGGATAAATAATTTATAATATAATAAAATCTGTAATAATCTGTAGAAAAGAGAGAGAGAGAGAGAAGAGAGAGAGAGAGAGAGAGAGAGAGAGAGAGAGAGAGAGAGAGAGAGAGAGAGAGAGAGAGAGAGAGAGAGAGAGAGAGAGAGAGAGAGAGAGAGAGAGAGAGAGAGAGGATTGTCAATTTTGATTTTGTGGTGACTTTAAATATCCCTTCTTGTACTTGGCAACGACTGTTGACATCACTAACCCTAAAATTTGCATAAACTCCGCCCCCAGGAACGCAATTTATAGATGATCATGACATAATATGCTAATCAATGACTAGAAGATAACTCCCCATAAGCTTTATAAATTCATCGACTAACCATTCAGAGACGTCCTGTTGCTTCTACATGTTGTCACTTCTTCTTGAGTCTCTTCATCTTTGTCTGACTCCGGTTTGAACATAAAAGCCAAAAAGTTTTTGAAATGTTCAGTGCGTGTGTGAGGTAAAAGGACACTCTTGAAGCTCCGCCCCCTGTGTCGGGAGCAGCTGCTCATTTGCATTTAAAGGGACAGACACAAAACGGTGCGTTTTTGCTCACCCTCAAAAAGTGACAATTTTAACATGCTATATAGAAATATCTGTGGGGTATTTTGAGCTAAAACTTCACATACACACTCTGGGGACATCAGAGATTTACTTTACATCTTGTGAAAAGGGCATTATACCACCCCTTTAAAAAGAACGATTTCTCGTCTTCCGAACGCTGTGTGTGAGTGTGTGATGTGCTGTTCTCACGCGTGTGTGTCCTCCAGCAGATGGGACGTCGACGCTGTGTGTGTCCTCGGTGAGAGAGCTGCCGTCTCAGCTTCAGGATCTCTACCAGCAGGGCTTCGTTCTGAGCGCTGTGCATCCGTTCGTTCACCCGTGTGGACCCGAGCCCGCCAGCATCCAGCGCCAGCTCTACCGGGCCGTGCTCATCAGAGTCTCCGACAGGTGGGGTCACAACACACACACACACACACGACGGGAACATGAACTCCACAGGTGCTGCTGACATTTACTACAGGGGTCATTTCTGTCAGGACCACTATCGTCAAATACGATTGACAATTAGCATATAGTTTGGATTGGCGGTATGGTTCATTTCTGGGCAAGAACTGCATGGATAAGAGCAGCAATAACCCTCCTTAGGCTAAACCATAGGTCGGCAACCCGCGGCTCTTAAGCGCCGCCCTAGTGGCTCCCTGGAGCTTTTTCAAAAATTCAAAAAATATTTTTTGTTTTAATATAATTTCTGTTGGAGGAAAAACATGACAAACATTCTTAAAGTTTTTCAACGTTGTAAAAATGTGTATAATAAATATTTAATTTCAACATTTCTGTCAACAAAGAATTTACGTCATAGACTGTGACACACGTGTCTGTCAGATCGGCGTGATGCTAGACCGGTGGCTGACAAACAAACAAACCGGCGGGTGTGTCATGGGCCATGGATCCCAAGGGGGAAAAGAGAAAGATAGCTGAGCACTCCCAACGCACTCTAGTGCGGCGCGGGACTAGATTTGATGGCCGAGTGCGAGTGCGAGCGCGGGCGCGGGCGGTAATGCACTCACTCTACTAAAACAAAATAGAAACGATTTACAGGCCAGAATTTCTATTCATAACGTGTTTGCAGCGTTGAGCGATGTAGCCAATCAGACATATGTGTTGATTTCTTGAACGCAATGGCCAATCAGAAGCATTTAAGATAGACTCCCCTCACCGCTCAAAACTGACGTTTTTGTTCAGTGCTGAATTCTGTATGCTGGCAAATCCTCTAATTATAACGAACAAAGTGTGGATATTATGAAAGATTGATTGTGCAGTCAGCTTCATTGATAATAACAGAGATGTGTGAGATCGCGATGAACTGTCAGCTTTTTAGGAATTATTAAGAGAGCGCACTTTGCGCGCATTCAGTCATGCCAAACCATGCACGCAGTAAACTGCTTGCTTGGTTTGTGTTTTAATGCTTTAATAACAAATAATTTATCAGGAGGATGTATGGTGGTGACACATAGGCTAACTTGAAAGTATTTGGAGGTACAGAAAAAAGTCTATTTGCGGGCGGGAGCGGGACAAAACATAAATGTTGCGGGCGGGAGAAAGAAAGTTGAGAACGTCAATTATAACGACCCACGCATTAAAAAATGGTCTGGTTAAAATCGGGCTCATTGTAATGTTTAATGTGTCGGGCCGGGCCGGGTTTGATTTTTTGGGCCCGTTCTAAGCTCTAATTTGTAGCCTACTTATCATTTTGATACTAATAAAGCTAATATAACACTTAGGCCTACAGCATGTGTTGCCTTCATTATAAGGCTTATATAAAGCTTTTAATTTTTTGCGGCTCCAGACAGATTTTTTTGTTTTTTTTGGTCCAATATGGCTCTTTTAACATTTTGGGTTGCCGACCCCTGGGCTAAACAGAACAGAACCAACATGAATGTATGCAGATATCATTAATTCAAGATTTTAAAGTACAACATAACCGAGAATTTACTAATGAGAGGAGGAGCTGGGGAGGGAGGAGGGTAATGCGCTCCTGAGAAACACGATATCTGCTGATAATATATTTAAATTCAGTAATTTCACTTAAATGACAATTGTCATTTAAGTGAAATTACTGAATTTAAATATACGAGCTTGATAAAAATGATCATTTTAGAAGAAAATTTCAGATGGCATTTAGAGGCTTTTGCATCTGAACTCTTCATATGTATACAGTGATAAGCGTCACATCCAGTTTAGTGCCTGAACTCGTTCATATTTTGGGCGAACGTGAACTGAACGTACTGTATTACTGCCTGATGAATGTTACTGTGAACTCGTTCATTCTGGTGTCTGTGAACACACGCTCTCTCAGTTTAACTTCGTTCATAGGGTGCCAGATTTCTATAGAGCCTTCCAGGCGAAATTAATATGTATGTAATATGTAGCGAAAAACACACCCAATCTGGCAACACCAGCCACCAGTGTCACACCGCCGCTCCGCCGGATGCGTCATCAAAACAAAAAGCAGCATGCATGCATGTAGGCATTAAGATTATTTAAGCATTATCTTAAAGCACCAGTAGATTTGGTGTTGCCAATCCTCAACTGGATTCTTAACGACCCTAAACTTTTAAACGCTATATTTTGAGCAAGTCAATGTCACTTTATTTATAAAGCAATATTTAAAACAACAACTGTTGACCAATGTGCTGTACATCGCATAAACATGCCACTGTATCACGATTAAAAGCTATTTCAAACAAATAAGCCTTCAGTTTTGATTTAAAATTTCCCACAGTCTCTAAAAAAAATGCTGGGTTGTTTCAACCCAACTTTGGGTCAAATATGGACAAACCCAGCCATTGGGTTAAATTTTCAAATTACATTTTTAACCCAACATTTGGGTTTGTCCATATCTGACCCAAAATTGGGTTGAAACAACCCAGCATTCTAATACTAACCG